AGGATTTGAATATTTTTGAGGGAGAAGCTTGTCAAAAATATCAAAAGTTTTTTAAAATGCTTGTTAAAATAAGAAACAACACTCACTGTTAAACAATGTTCAGGTATCCATTCAAAGAGACAACAGCAACAGTCAAGAGCAAACAACACAGTCAAAAAATTTTAGAAGACACCTCTTGCTTTCAGAATATAGGAAATTATTTTAACAAAACATAGATTTTTAACTTTTAGGTACAGTTAAAGCAGGCCAAAAGTTCAAGAAAAGTATCCTTTGAGAGAAAACCAAATTTTAATTTCTGCACCAGCTTACTTTTAACATTAAAATTCATTTACTTAATTGGATTTACTTTAATCTTAGTCTACTTGACCAGGCATAAAACTCCTTTCTGAATTTCTCCTTCACAAACCTTCTACAACTTTCTTTTTGAGCTCAGAATTTGTCCCAAAGTCTTTCTTTTTTCCTTTCTAGTACATTAGGACGAATTTATCTTTCTTAACCCATCAAACAAAATATTTCCATTCTTTGTACCTTCTTTACTGAAAACACACATTTTACTTTCCTTGAATACAGAGCTGTTTTCCTTATTAATTCCCAGTAGCTTTAATCATATAGGTTAATAAGAACTTTTAACCATTAACAGACCCTGGTAAACACTAAAAGGTAAGCAATTACAAATTGTTTTTTATATCAGCATTCTAAACACTTCATAATTTCTAGAAACATGCCGCTTTACAGTAACAGACCCAAAGACTTTTAGCCTCTCTGCAATAAGAAGCCAAAAGTAGATAACTTAGATATGTTTAGCTGTAATGCTTGTGTGCTATCCAATCCAAAAATGACCCAGATGCTCAGATTTTTATCATTTAACTTAACTTGGCAAAACTCAAGATTGTTATCAAAAAGAATTTGGAAGCTGTTTTTTTTTTTAAGTATACAGACCATAAAACAGTTCTTGTACCCACAAAAACTTCATGAGACATTAGACAAAACTGGTCATCATTTAAAGCTATTATTTTGCTGACGAATTTCTAACAGACAACGTGAACTTATTTGACTAGGAAACCCAGGCTGCATGCCTACATCATACGCAAATACCGACAACTCTGACAACAAGACTATTTTCAATCAAACCAACGAACTTAAACAAGCTTTCATTTACCAAAGGTTAATTCACATCATGTTAACTTGAAAGACATTGGATTAATTCCTACTATATTTAGAATTTACGTAAGTGCTTACTTTAAGCCAATTAAACCGAGCTCTTAATTTTGGCCATACCATCCGGAGGTAAAAATATCACACATATAACATACATAAGACATACGTACACAGAGACTGTACAGCTATTGTTTTTTTTACCAATATTTGTGGAGAAGACACTCAAGATGCTAGATTTTTTTGGCAAGGGCACGCTTATGGCTGTTTTTCCTCTCCCCTCCTCTTTTTTTTTTTTCCTTCAGTCTTAGGAATTAGTGATGGGCTAGATAGTAGTTCCTGGAGAGGGGAGATGATAATCCTTTTCATGATAAAGGAACTAGGTGGAATCTGAACTGCCTCTAGAGCAGTATTTCCAGTCTTGCAAGGATTTTGTAAGGACAGTTGCTCTTGATTTCCCAGAAACTGGATTGTAACTCAAATTACATTCCAGTTTGATCTACCTGTCCAACTGCATCACAAAGGCACAGAGAAACCCCTCAAATTTTCTCCCAGATGGAGTTAGAATGCATCCGCAGGGTGGGTCTCTGGGGATGCTTAGGAGCCTTCCCCATGGCGGTAAAGCCAGTGTTTGACTGACAGCAGGTGGAGAAAGGGTGCAGAGGCCGATTGCGAGTGTGCAGAGGCTGATTGCGGGTGTTGACGTAGTTATAAGATTTAGTCAAGTCCCGCTCAGCCTGGGCACTTTGTCTCTGAGCCAGCACAGTTGAGGTAGGGAAGCAGGAGGCAAAGGCCTGGAACTGGCTGGAGGCTGGGGCTCCCAGGGCCAGGGTTGAGAGTTAAATCTCTGGCAAAAGGCTTATTTTTTCAATTTTACAGAAGGTCAAGGTTCTGCTCAGGTCCAGCCTGAACTTAACATCAACTTGGTGACAACAAAGGAGCTGATGAACAAGACAGACAAAGAAAGGAAAAGAAGAGATCAGACCTTGTCCTCATGGCCTCTTCCAGAGGGTTATCAAGATAAGAGTCACACAACAGTTACCGTGCTGGGGCACACTACCCTAGCACGACAGTTCACAGAATAAATCACAGGTCTCCTACCCTCATAACGAACTCAGTAGGTGACTAAAATACTCAATGAGTCAACGGTCAAGAGAGGGCACCCCCACTTACGTTGCTGGGGTGATCAGGCACAGAAACCCAAAGTTGGGGCTTCCAGGGGTGGAGCCTTTTACTCTTTAAAGATTTCTTTGTTTCCCAGTTGCAAAGCTCAAAAGGAGACGAAAATGGCCATTGTAACTCTAAGAGAGATGAAAGAAATGGGTCCATTAGCTTGAAAATCCCCCCTGAACCTAGGGCAGCGTCCTGCCATTGTTCCTGCTGTGGGGTTCCTACAGCAAGGGGTGATAGGGGCGTCCCCTGGCATTGCATCCCTTGTATACCTTCCCTGTTATGCCTGGCAGTAACAGATGCCTGGTGAATGGTCCCCGAGAGAAAAGGAGAACTTTTAAGAGAGATGAAAGAAAAGGAGCCATTACCTTGAAAATCCCCCCATTGGGGTTCCTGTAGCAAGGGATGATGGGGGCATCCCTTGAACATCTTCCCTATTCTGCCTGGCAGGAATAGGTGCCTGGTGAATGGTCCCAGAGAGAAAGGGAGCCATTACCTTGAATATCCCCCCAATGGAGTTCCTGTAGCAAGGGATGATGGGGGCATCCCTTGAACATCTTCCCTATTCTGCCTGGCAGGAATAGGTGCCTGGTGAATGGTCCCTAGGATAAAAGGATAGAGAAAAACAGTGAGGAATTTTCTGCCAGTCTGGGGGATATTCTACCCAATTGCAGCCTGGAGCCATTCTCCCAAGAAGGGGTTCCCATACTCAACCAAAGGTTAGAGTTTGGTACTTCCCTTGAACTGGAGTCCCGATTGGGACTTTCCCGCAGTTCAGAGTGTGGTCAGGTGCCATGGGAGGGATACCAATCCAGCCTTAGGAAAAGAAACTTTCCACGGGAGTCTTGGAGATTGGCAACCGTCCTAATGACTTAAGTGGCCGACCTGTGCCCATGTAAAATTTGTCTATTAGCGATAGAGTCAGGAAGGAATGGATTAATTCATTCTTCATCACCCTGAGGCTTAAGGTACTGATTCTCTTCAAGCTGAATGCCACGATTTGCCCCACAGAGTAGCCATGGGCAGCAAACGTGGATTCATACAGCCATCCAAGAAAGTTCCCAATGGAGAAGTGAATTTAGATCCATCCTTGAAAAAGAGAAAGGCACAAGGAAAGAAGGTCACTTACCAGAACTCGAGCTCACAAGCCGATGAAGCGAGATCCCCGTACGGGAGTTCCCCGTACGGAAGATCCCATGAAGCAAGTTCCCCGTACGGGCCACCAGAAATGAAGCGGGGTTGGTGAGCTGAGGAGTCGAAAGAAAGATTTCTTGGACTCTCAAGGTCTGGCAGTGGTGCTCTTTTATTTAGAGGATAGTACGGAATAGCATGGGGACAGGACCCATGGTCAGTAAAGAGCTGCCGTCGCTGCTGCATGGGGACAGGACCCATGGGCAGTCAGAGCTCCTGCTGCTGCCCTGAGTTGAGGGTTAGGGCTAATTTTATAAAGCATGGGTACGTGACTTATTTTTACTGGAAAAAGAAAAGATGATGTAAAAAGTCATTAAATGATTCAGTGCAGATGGGGTTTGGTTATTGTACGGTCATATAACTTTAGATACGAATCTGGCCATATAGATCGGCATGTAGGTGAAGATGCCCTGGGCTTCTCTCCCTGGGGCAGCCCTAATTCATACCATAAAAAAAAATCCACTGGGTCATATAGTTTGGCATGTAGGCCAGGTCAGCTTGGGCTTCGCTAGCTGGGGCAGCCTTAATCCACATGAAAGGGACTACACATAGGTAGCTTACATGCCCCCAAGGAACATGTGAATTTCTGTTTCTGATGTATGTGTTCTTGTTGTCTTTCACGTGAGTTTTAGTGTCTCCAAGGGACAGTGTTTTTTACCTACTTTTTTCCTATACTTTCACTCCCTCTTCTCCCCATCTTTTAGTTTGACTGCAACCTACGTATTCCACTCAGAGATCTACTTAATTATTCAACAAAACTTTACTGAGTAGGTACCGCAATACCTCCCACAGTTCAATGGCTTTAGAGCCACAAAGAAGCAGACAAATTGTCGTCCTTGAAATGATTGTAGCTGAATTGTGGAGAAAAAGCCATACATACGTGGATAACTATAGGACATCTAAAGGTACCATAGGGACAGGGAAATAACTGTGGTGAGGGTTTAATGAGTCAACATGAGCTTAGGCTCAGGGAAGTTTGGGCAGAAGTTAATTTGTGAATCATGAACTAAGACTTACTAAAAACAAAGAATTTGAATTGAGGAGGCTATTCCCAGTGTGCAGAATGTCATAAACAGAGGTGTAACTTCTGGAAAGAGGTAAACATATGTGGAACACGGAATGTCTATCATCCTGGCTAAGTCAGAGTTCTGAGTGGGGAGAGACAAGGTCAGATAGGCTAATGGAGACTCGTTGATAGAAGGCATAGAGCCCAAAAGGATATAGTTTTATCCTAACAAGTAACAGGAGCTGCCACCCATTTTTAGACTGGAGACTCATTCAGGAAAACAAGAACATGAAAACATTTCAGAAAGCATTTGCAATGACTGGTTGGTTATTTTTATGTCATTCTAAAATAAGAGTAATATAGTCTTTTGCAAATGTAACCAAAATGCTTGTGTGGCCAACCTGCAACTTAAGCCCTGATAAGGGCCGCCCAGTCGGCTGTTCCACACCTGGAATAGGTCAGTCTGACACCCCTCAGCCCTGTGCCCGAACAAATACAAACCCACCTACCCGCCCAACACCCACACTGATTTCTGCTCAAATAGGATCTTCTTTATGTGAAGCAGATCCTTTTCAAGTTTGGTGGGTGGGGAGAGCTTTTATTCACAGGCATACAAACTACTTAACATAGAGCGTCGGAGGTCTCTGTCTTGAAAGTTCTGTTTAGTGATCCTTTGATTCTCTCTCCTCCTGCCATACTTCTCTGCTCTCTCCTTGGAAATAGAAATTGACTAGAAATTAAAAATAAGTACAAAGCTATCACAACCCCCCTATTTTGTTAACAGAGATGGTCAACTTTTCCTAGTCTGTCTCCGGCCCCCTTCAGAACTTTGGGTGGTGTTGCAGTGGGTGGGACCACTCTGCCAGGAGAGATGGGAAGTAGACTGTTAGGTCTATGCGTGGCTTTCTCCCTGGCCTTGTAGGGGCTCCAGGTTTTCTCACCAAGTTTGTAATATCTGGTAAATACAGTGAAAGGAGGGCATGTCGCTTCTACAAATTATTCTCTGGAAAGCTCTGTCTAGAGTCAAATTTATAGGAATTAAGAGCCTATCATACATTCCACTCTAGAGGCCACTAGGTGAAAGCAGATTCTATCTTTCATTTCTTTTATTGGCAAAACCATCTCTTCATCTATTTCCCCCGACACAAATTTTTGTTAATTTATAAGGGTAGCACTTGTGCATGTTTTTATTTTGAATGACACATTAATAAACTGAAAAGCCTTTTGATGTCTTAATGAAGTGGATGATTCAAACAAATTATTTCTATTTCAGAATCACAAATTCTACCTCATTGTTCGGGAAATTTCTAAACTATTATCTCTGGACAGTCTACTGTGCTTAATTTCAATAACAGAGTATTTTTGTAGAAGGGCTTTTGTGTGCTTCCAGAGCAATTCTCGTTGGCTCTTCGATTTCAGTTAAACAATTTGTCTGCTGATTTTCTCCCTCTCTGATTTGTAGAACTCAGCATTCCAGAAAAGACAGATGTTGGCAGAGGGTTTGAGGATAGTCTATAATATCTGGACTGTGGTTGGGCTGGCTCCCTCTGAAAGGAGGGAAGGGAGAGAGGGTAAGGTTCTTTTCTCCCTCTGACTGAGGGGTGGGTCTTAACGTACATTGCTGCTGATGCAGAACTCAGCTTACATGATATAGGACGTGGGGGGCGGCAGCAAGTACAAAACAGTGAAATAAATTACCATATATATCATGTTCTGGTTGGTAAGATAGAAGCGATGTGTGCAATAAATCAAAGCTGGAAGTAGTTCTGGTGCGTGGTGATAGGGAGACAGTTCTCCGTGGCTCAGCGTCGGCTTCAGAGGGTTCTGTGTGAGGAATAAGTGAGTAAGCAGAAACCACTCACTGTAATGTGGCGAGGGAGGACATTTGTGAGGGCACAGGAGACCTTCCGTTATTGTAGTGGGGATCTGTTATTTCGCCAGCCCAGCACTCTGATTTTCCTGCGGGGAACTTCTCCTCCCCCGCTGCAGGCAGCCTTGCATGCACTCAATTAAGGAGCCTTCCTCTCCCCTGCCGGCGCATGGGCACGTGACCCAGGGTGGACCACAGGCTCTCTCTCTCCCTGTGCCTGAGTCTTGAGTGGAGTGATACACTGATGGAAATAGTCCGCGGCTGATTCATTTTGACAGTAGAGCCTTAGCGACAGGGCGCATTTGTGTCTCCTCCCCAGTTAACCTGGCTGCCCCTGTTCTCTGAGCCCTGGCTGTTCTGGTTCCTTTTGATGATGTAAGCGACCACATCTGCCTGGAAGAAATTCTATTTTGTGCTCAGGTTAGCTAGGGTCAGTTTCTTTTGTTGGCAATAAATGCCAGTTGTTGAAATCTGTGGAATATTCGGCCCTTCAGCTTCTTGGTAGCGTGTCATACCAGCACGCAGGCTGTTTGTTGTCCTGAGTCGCATGTAGTCTGGTCGGACTGGAAAAGAGACATGGGAAAGACGAAAGAGGAAAGTTAGGGTTATGGTTAGACTTAGGGTATTCTGTGGACTTCCATAAACAAAAGGAAGAAAACATGGCCTCCTGTGGATATGTCACAGCCAGCTTTCTAAGGCTAGTTATGGGACAAGTTTATAAACTCTGAATCTTACTTCCTTATCCAGGACACAGTGATAATCATTCCTTCTTCTCAGTAGAAGTGAGAGTTAAGTCAGATGACGTTGGTTACTGCCCCTCACAGGGCATGCACACTGAAGGTGCTTAATTAATGTTTGCTCCTGTTCTTTGGTCTCCTTCATCTCTCTCAGTCTGCCTTCAAAGATTCTAATGAGGCTGGCAGATTAAGCAATGCATTGAAATCAGATATGTTTTGTTTCAAGTTTCTATACTGGGGCTGCTTTCTGTAGTGAATGATGATGAGGAGCGTCTAGACGTAGGTATGTTTGTCTTCCTTTGGAGACTTTTCGTTAGAGTAACGTATTTTGTTGGCAACAGTCACAAGGAAAGTCTTAAGAAACTTGATGGTTTAAAGATGATAGAAGTACAACATGTGAAATACATTTCATGGCCAAGGCCTGACTGGGTAGTGGATACAAATTATATCCCATTAACATGATTATCTTCATTTCATTAACTCTAAAACCCATTTGGTAATGAATAATTAATCCCCTATTCATGTCTCTTCCAGAGCCCAGTGAAAGATCTGCCTGGAGCCTACCCCTCTGTTGTGCACATGGGCACTGCTGCTATTATTTCTGCTTTGTGGTCACCATTTATTGTGTTACTGTCTTTGGTCCTGACATGAGGAGGCTGTCTGCACCCAGCTGCTGCCCAGCACCCGTCCTATCCCAAACTCATGTTTCATTTGGTCCCTGTGCTCCAAAACAATCACAGTTGTCGTCTGAGTTGGCCTCTTCATTTTTGGGATCTCTTCCTTCTCTTTGAGGCTCAAGAGTAGCCCATTAGGCTGAACTGAGGATGGGAGTATGGATGGACAGAGGCCATGCTGTTGATGATATTATTACCATATTCTCATATCCATGGGTCCTTTGCTTGACTCCTTCATCCTTTATATATATATGTAAATATATAAATTGAGCAAGCAGATACTTAAGAGCATAGTGTCATCTAATTCCACACTCCACGTTCTAGACATATCCAGTTTCAAACCTGGCCCAGTTAGAATAGCATGCTACATCTCTTAGAGAAGGCTAAATCAGGGGCTATTGTTTTAATTGCTGAACTTTTTTACTCTCAACCATGATTTGATTGAAATTCTATTCTATGATCAAAGAGGACTATTTCACTACTAAATATAATCCTTTAAAGAGTGAAGTAAGTGTTGATAGCACATTTTTCCATCATTTGCAGCAAGGTTACATAAATGATTAACAAACAAAATCTTCAGCTACTGAGAAGAGAACATTATATTCACAAAAGAAGTGGCATTCTTTAGAGAAAGGTAAAGACACTGTAGTTGCTATGACTAAGTTCTGTCCAATGTAATTTATATAATTTGATACTTAGATAAATTTTTTTTAAAAAGTTAGAAACCAATTATTTGCTTCTGTATTGAGATGAATTGTTAACTATAAGTTTTAGCATTTCACCCTTTTCTTTGGTTAATTTAAGGCAAACATCTGATCATCATTGCCAAATCATAGGAAAACAAAATCGAGTTCATGGAAGTACAATTTATGGGTAATCTATGAAATTATTGTCAATTCATTAAAATTTTTCCAAGAAGCAAATTATACTGGCTGGGAGGATTTTTTTTTCTTTTCTGAGATTAAGTTTTGGCAGATAAAGCTGGTCATTTTGCGTTTCACTAAGCCTTCATCTTGTTTCCTTTCTGTATTCATTGAGTCTAGATTTCGAAATTCTCCGTGAATTCTTTTTAAAATCTGCCATTTACATCTTCTGTTACCAGTTTTTGCATTTCCTAGTGCTCTCCTTTTCTTCTAGTAATTATGAAATCATAATTAATTTGACATATATATACTTTTCAAAGCAAGGGGCAGAAAATGTCGTATGGTTACTGCATCCTAATATTATGAAGAGAGTAGGGGTTTTGAAATTTGACAGTGAGGAGTTCAAATTCTGGATCTGCCTCTTGCTTGCTGTATGGCCTCCTGAATCGCATTTCCTTTGGGTGTAAAACGGCAAACAGCCTACCTACCTTCAATGGGAAATTTTGATTTTGGAAAAATTAAAAAGCAGTTTTGAGTCATCAATTCCTCTAATGTAGGAAAATAAAATCTTTTACTCTCTTTTCATCTTGGAGGCACACTTACTTTTCCAAGCTACCAGACTGCCATTTGGAAGATGATTTCTTCCCAATACCAGAAGAACTATTGACCATTCAAGTCCGAAGTGCGTGGTACTTTTACAGAAGAAGCAGCTCTAACAGTCAGGAGATGGGGCGAAAATGCTCCTCATTTTCATGAATTGAATTGTTGGCCAGTTTATGGATGTTCTTAAGGAGCTCAATTCTGAACTCGGGATTTGATGGTTAGGATCTGAATGTTACTTTTTCTAATCATTTGATCTATTGTTGAATACATATGGTTGGTTACTGGATATATTTGCTACATGCATTTTAAATTATCAGAAGTGCACTAACTGTGTTTGTGTCTCCAATGCATGAATATATATATTTTTGAAGGCAATATTTAATATTTGGTCTCTTTATCCCAAAGAGAACACTATCATATCTCATGTGGTAAAAATAAAAGTACTTGAAAGCTTTATTCATAAGGATAGACATTGCAAAATTCTTTAAAATAAGGTGACTTAAAAAAATTAAAGTCCAGTAATGGAGGATAGTTAGGTAAATTATTCTCTATTTTTATGACAGAATATTATAAGATTTTAAAAATTATGTGTATGTTGTAAGGACAAATACAAATTAAAAATAAGACTTTTGCACCTTACTCCAAGTTACAAAAGTACCTCCCATCATAAAGACACGAGAAGTTTGTTTTTCCTTTGGATAAAGCCCATTCGCTGACACAGATGGCTACCTCAATTGCCAGGTAAAATTCGGATGAACTGTGTGTGATAAATGGTGCTGTCAAGTCCTCTTACTTGAGGACTAGTTATTATTTATCTTGAAAACATACACGTAGTGGGTTGTATCTGCTTGGCTGTAGAAAAGGGTGAGATTTCTTTCTGTCTTTGCAGTCCCTTGGCGAATTGCTTGTAATGCGCATCACATTTTGGTTTAATGCTTATTCGATTATAAAAGTGTCGTCTTTTCTGTTTTTGTGGAGAGGATTTCTGGGTTAGGAGAAGATTTTGTTTTTAATATTTCCCCAACGTATGTTAAGGTCTTAGTAATGTATAAAGTATGTATGAAATGGTAAGTAAAAAAAATCCATAAAAACTTATATATATGTGTGTTTTTCAATATACATTGAAACATACATTTTAAATATATATAAGAAGACTAGAAAGACATACATTTTAAAAATGGTGGCATTATGGGTGATTTTTATTTCTATCTCTTTAATTGTTTTCAGTATTTTTCTGTAATTGCATGCAGTACTTCTAAGGCTAGGAAATGTTATTTTTTAAGAAATGATTTGAGCTCTTTAAATGATGTACTAGAACTTGAGTGTAATCATCAAATTTGTGAGAATAAATTGCAACTCTGTTTTTTCCTTCCAAACATCGTACATGTTTCAAAAAGTCAGTATTCTTGAGTTATGGAGAAGGACTTGTTTTTAGAACTGAGGGAAAGAAGTCGTGGGTGGGAAGCATCAGTAAGCTGTGGACAGATGGTCTGATCTATCGGTTTAGCAGGTAAAAGACAGGCCCCCATGCACTTTAGAAGAGAACAGAAGACAAAAGATGTCAGGAAGTAGGCAGAGACTGTCTTCCAGCTACTAAGTGTCATGTTACCTTAACCCCCAGTTTAGCTTCTCTCTAGTGGTGACCGCATCTAAATTTAAAATGATGGACCCTTAAAAATAGGGACTAATATGACTGTACCAATGACAGCAGTGAGTTAAAAGCAGAAACGAGAACATGGATTCTGGCACAGGAGAAAATCCAGTAGCAATTCTCCCCAGGCAGCAAATAATTTGTTTGAGTGCATAATTAATAGATTTGTCAGAAAGTACTTAGATTGTGAAATATTGCGCATAGCCCTCTTTCCAGATGGATTAAGATGAATGGGTCCTCCAGCAGCGTATGAAACCTCATTGCTCAGCGGCTAGAGAATTGCTGCATCTAGAGTAGTTTGAGTCTCTGCCTCTTTGCACTCTTTCTCTTTCCCTGGCTGCAGGGGGAAAAAATGAATAGAATGCTTCTAATTCTGATATTGAATGGTGTCCTTTACCTAAAGGGCATCCAAGCAGACAAAATTAAATCAGATGCTCAATGGGGAAACTTTCCACTAAGCAGGAATTTAAAATAGGGAAATGTATTAACATGTTGAAAAATGGTTAAATTAAGCCGATCTGTGGATCAGAGGTGTGACTTTTCAGCTACAAGCCACAGAGGTATTTCATGTGCAATTGCCTGCACATTGAGAGGTGACACATGCCTTCTTTACCCTTGGAAATATCCGCGTAATACATACCTGAGGGACTCGGATATAAATTGGCTGGTTTAAAACGGTGGGATGAGAATCCAGGTTCTATTTCTTTTTAGAATATAATTGATTTGAAGGAACTACCTATCAAAAATTTCCATCTGAAAATTCCTCCTAAAGATGAGGACTGTGGGCATTAATGGGTGGAGGCAGAGGGCAGTGAGTCCTAGCAAGTGCCCTCCATTTTTCTGGGCACCCAGAACAGTTCAAATAAGAGTAAATGAAATTATTTCATTTTCAAAATCTTCTTTCATGTGCTGTTTTTTAAGGAAAATGGGTGATATTTTTCACTCTTTTTTTTTGTTTGGTTTCATTTTCGTTTTTTTACTAAATGGAGAGACGAGGTGAGGACAAAGCTCAGCATCTCTCCAGGGACCGATGCC